CACAGAGAACATCGAAGGAATGTAATGAAAATGCATCCTTTTTTCTTGTTTTCTCATGTTGGAAACTAGGGCCCCACCGATTTATTGGTGAGCTGATTAAATCGGCCAATTTTAGCCTGTTTGAGACTCGCCGCCGATATTTTCAGAAATAACATACAGAGATTAAGATTTGGTTTCCCTTTGAAAATGTTCCACTGTTTGAAAAGTTCCCCAACTTATCCTGTAGATGGCGCAGTGACCTCATGACAATCTTCATGCGCTACTTACCTCACAGCACAGCAGAGCAGAGTGACGGCTCTGAAGCAGGCAGCTGTAGGGACTTACGGAGGAGAGTGGTCCGCCTCAACGGTAAATAAACCAGTTTGTGAAATACACAATAAGTCAACAAGTTTCAGTTCCACCCACTTCACCATGTTCCCCGCTGTGCTGGTCTCAGTCACGCCGAGTTAACAGTAAAGCACCATGTAATATGCAAGCTAAAGTTAGAGTTAGCTTCCCGCTATTAGCCTTGCTAAACTGTTAGCCGTGCCAGTAACGGTAGAAAAAACAACAGTACACATTATGTGATCGAGCGACTTCTCTTACTGAGGCAGCTGAATGTCTCCAGATTAGACCGGACAGGAAATGAGTAACGTGAGTTAGGACGCGGAGGCACCGAGCGGCGGCAGGCAGGGGGTGGTGGTGGTAGTTGAAAACGCTTTTCTGGTCCGAGTTTGATCAGTCGGTCTTCCTGTTGGCGTGAAGAGCAGTAGCCAACAGTATATATATATTTTTTATAACTTCATAAAAAATTTTTAAAATCAGCCGTAATCTGATTTTTTCCCCTCTAATAATCGGTACCGGCATCGGCCCCAAAAAATCCATATTGGTCGGGCTCTATTAGAAACACAATCTAAAAGACACAGAGTGACATTATTTGTCGAGTTTGTCTGTTACGTTGCATTTGTGGTTTTGAGGAAACAAAGAACCTTGTGTTGTTGGAGTGAATCCCTCTTTTTTTAAACTATACTGTAACTTTTAGATAAACTGCAGAGAAGTAAATACACTCTCAAACACATTTGTATGCTGTATTGAGTGAACACACATATGTAATCAAACCCTGTCCATCCCAGAGCTTCATTGAAGCTGCATTATGTTTACACTCCTTAAAATATTTAAACCTAACTCTATTTATGAAACCTCAGCCTCATATCAAACAGAAATATTCCTGAGATCTGTGTATGAAACCCAAATTCAGGTTGATACACGGCCTAACTCTGAAACTTATAGATCTCCACTTGAATTTAAAGGAAAGTTTTTGTGGGTTAGTACAAACTTTTGCTGCACAGCCAAAGTTTTATTGACTCTCCTACCCAGGGGCAGTGAGATTTAAGAGGATACTTTTGTGAACTGACCTCAGCTCCTCACCTTGGTAACTATGTGTACTACGCCAGTGCTTATCATGCTGAGTCTGCAGCTCCATTGGCAGCTCCATGAGGCTATGTTATGTGCTGCCCAGCAGGGTAAAAATCCACCGTGCATGTAACCATACTTTTATACACATTTACTTCAAAATGTAGTTTTCTGTTTTGTTTTACTGCAGCATGAAGATGCATTGGAGCCTCAGAGCAAGACGGTGTAGGTACCAGATTTATTCAGGCTGCCAGATTGGCTCGAGGTCCAGCACCTATTGATCATGATTGGCTGGAAGTTGGTTCGGATGACGTAGAAGATTGTGGTTAGTCCAGACATAATGGAAGAGGTTTTTGCCGAATTAGGTTTCATGGGATTGTAGTTCTTGGGAGAAAACATGGATGAATTTTATGAAGCAATTTATTGTTACTTATCGAAGGGGACTCACAACAGCAGGGATACAGACTCTTTTAGGTCGCCAAAGGAAATGTGGAATAAAAGCAAAACTCTCTGTTGGTAGACAGAGATTTTCTTTTTCCCTCAGAAAAGTTAACATATACAATTAAAACCATCTCAAAATTACAATACAGTAAGTTGTAATTCTCTGTATTATATGGAGAGAGAATTTCGAGGTCAATTGAATGAACAAACAGAAACAACGAAAACCGTGTGGGGCTGTTAACCGAACACATTTGACTTATTAAATGGGGCGCAATGTAGTTTGTCCGAGTGGACTTGCCTTAGTGTGACATCTTGGCAGCTCGAACACATCTGGTACTAACAACGGTTCTTGGTTTGACCCGGGTTGCAGCCTGGTCTTTTTCCTCAGAAAGTCCAGTTCGATTGGAGTAGTTTGAAAGCTCATGGGAACTCTGATACGGACCAAACAAGCAAACTCTGCTCCACTTAAAAACGGAGGTCTGGGTTCACTTCCAAGTCAACAAAGCAGTCTTCTGAACCACAGGCAGGTGGTGTAAAAAACGGTGCATCTACGTGTCAATACCATGGCAACATGTGGTCGCCTCTCGCTCTCATCATTCATGATTCATTCACCTCTACTTGGCTTTCTGCTCATGCTGGGCGCCTTTTTGTGTGATTATAAAGCGACTTGTCACTGTGATGAATTTCTGCTCTCCGCTGAAGCTCACAAATGAGCTGTTTTCTTCTTCATCTTCTTGTTCGTCAGAGTTCCCTCACGACTGTGACTGTCCAGACGTTTGGTTCATTTGACCAAAGTGCGGTGTGACACCAAACATGAAGGCGATGCAGTGTCGCTATTTCACCCCCTAATCGGGTCCACCGTGTGAAAATGACCAGTCAGGGCTTGTTGAAACTTTTTAGTCCAAAAGACAGACCGATCATGATCACAACCAATGATCCACACCGCTGATATGTGTCTCACTAACGACACCGATTAAGCCAATCTGAGCGATATACAGTGTAGTTCATATAAATTTCATGTATTTGAGAAAAAATGTCAAACTCAATGTGTAACTCACAAAAGGACTCTGAGCTGCTTCTTGTGCATGTTGCTGAAATTTCTCACATTCTGGCTTGGATATGATATGAGTCAGCTATGTAAAAGATGCTCGCCTTTGATCGCTCCATCTTGGTGAGATCGCTCGTACATAAACACTGACTCATAGCTGTTGTCGATTCTGCAGTCTGTCCGCTCGCCCTGTAGCCCGTCTGTGTTTGTTTGTTGGTATGTTTATTCTTCTCTTTCTCACTTTGTCCGTGTCCATCTGTCCGTCCATCTGTCTGCATGAGTAATCAATGGTCTCTTCATTAGACAAATGGAAGGAGATGGGAGGAAGCTACATCAGGAAGCCAATCAGATAGTTAAAGTGGGAGGGAAGGACATTTCAGATCCAAATCAGCTGCAATGAATCACAAGGGCATGGCTGATTCATAGGGCACAGCTTGATTTAGGGCTGGATAAGCTTATTCTAACATCAAACTGAGTGCTCTTAATTACTCCTTTACTTTCATTCTGAATCATGACTTTGCTTTTGACATTTACTAATAGCCACAAACTTCAGTAATTTTTGCATAAACACATTTCATTAAGCTTTGTCTCAAACTCGCTTAAGAGTATTCATTGTAAAACAAATGCTGATGTTTATTTTCAGAAGTTTTGACTCAAATGACTTATATCTGCAATAGAAGTTGAGCTTTGGCAATAATAAGATTTTGGATATAAGTGGAAATCCAACTTACTAGGTGATGATAACTTGTTATAACTAATTTTATTACTTTGGTTCCAGGATACCTAAAAGATATCTAATGAAGGGTGTTATAAAAGGTCTTATAAAGAGTGATAAAAGTGGTGTATAGAGGGTGTTATACAGGGTGTTATGAAGGCTGTCAAAGGGGGTTATACAGAGGGTAATAAGTGGTATATAAAGGAAGTTTAACACAGTGTTATAAGTGGTATATTAAGCGTGTTATATGGGGTATTATGAAGGCTGTCAAAGGGGGTTATACATGGTGTAATAAGTGGTATATAGATGGTGTTATACAGAGTGTAATAAGTGGTATATAAAGGGTGTTATATGGGGTGTAATAAGTGGTATATAAAGGGTGTTATATGGGGTGTAATAAGTGGTTTATATATGGTGTCATACTGGGTGTTATGAAGGCTGTCAAAGGGTGTTATACAGGGTGTAATGAGTGGTAAGTAAAGGGTGTTATACAGGGTGTAATAAGAAGTATATAAAGGGTGTTATATGGGGTGTAATAAGAAGTATATAAAGGGTGTTATACAGGGTGTAATAAGAAGTATATAAAGGGTGTTATACAGGGTGTAATAAGAAGTATATAAAGGGTGTTATACAGGGTGTAATAAGAAGTATATAAAGGGTGTTATACAGGGTGTAATAAGAAGTTTATAAAGGGTGTTATACAGGCTGTAACAAGTGGTATATAAAGGGTGTTATACAGGGTTTTATAAGAAGTATATAAAGGGTGTTATACGGGGTGTAATAAGTGGTATGTAAATGGTGTTATGAAGGTTTTATAAAGGATATTTTGAATGGTTTTATTACCTGAGTTATAAAGGCTATTATGAAGGGTGTTGCTGATGTTATGAAAGTTGTTAGAACCCTGTTAGAATATATGAAGCACCCCTAAATAAGCACAAAGGAACATAAAATATATAAAACAACAAATTATCCTTTTGGTTTGATCATTCTCTCACTAACGGTAAGGTTAAAGAAGATGTTGGACTTCACAGTCAACACGGCACCTCTGCTGCCACACATGGATTGCAGGACAGGACTCCACTCGAGTTTTGACCAATGAGAAACAAGTATTTAGCTCAGCTGGGGAATAATAGTTTGAGATCACTTTCAGAACATTTTCCCTCAGAGTACAATCTGTTTTGTGAATGTAGTGATCCACAGCTCTTTCAGTATAAATAGGTTATTGGAGCAATGTATAAAAAGAGAAGAAACACTCAGTTGAATTCTGCTAACACAAGCATAAGAAAGTCTTATTTTTTGGCAGAGTATGCGATGAACAAAATCTTTCTGTTGCCTTTCTCCTCTTTTGTCAACTCCATTTACATCCTGAAAAGTCAGCAAGTGTTTCAGGGTAAGAAGGATCACAGCACGTAGAATACTAAAGGAGGTGAACCCCGGGCCCTCGTTGGGGGATTTACACAGGGACTGTATGAAAAATGGATCCGCCGCGGACCGCATCAGTCGTTCCCTCAGCAGTCCCTGTGCTTCATCCTGAACTGTTCCATTTTCAGAGCCGCTGCCTGGTTCCATATTCATAACCATTCCTGTATAAATGTCCAATTCCATTCCAGCTTATAGACAAATCACCTGCACAGACCCAGAATGCTAACCCTGTCCTCCGTGCATTGATTGATCCGTCTTTTATCGTAGTGCTGCAGCTTTATTTCAAATCTGAAAGCAAACATTAGAGGTCTCAACATTACCTCACTTTTCCATTCTGCCTCTTTCTCTCTTTCTCTTTCTCTCTCTCTCTCTGTCTTTTCTTGCTACAACATCCAGAAATCGTCAATCAACCCGATGAGGGAATAATAGGAGCTCCTTCTCACTAGGTCGAAGTGACTGCTGTACTTTCCATTAAGACTGTGACATGAGTGATTGTTTCAGAGATGGAAGATGGGAGGGAAATAAATGAACTGATCTTAGTCAAACAGAGAAGACGGTGCTGGTTTTACTGGTCACAACATCTCTGTGTAAGACTGGAAGCAGTGGGACTTCCTCCCTTGCTGCTGAACTCCATCTCGAACAAATGAGAGTCTTTTCAGGGGGTTTTAAGAAGACAGGCTCACCTCTTTTCTGCATTGGCTTTTTCTCCTGAGGGGGACCAACTTCAACAGAACATGCCTTTTCTCTTTTGCTTCTCCTGGATATCATCAAAGCCTTTTTTTTTTTCGAGGGCCTCCTTGAAAAACAAATGGTCTCCCTCTTGAAAGCATATGGCAGCGGTGCGTGCGCAGTCGAAAAGAAATGTCCACATGATTTATGTGCCATATGATTTCCTGTACAACTGCAGGAAGAACAAAAGGAAAAATGAGTCATGCCGCACCATTGTATCGAGTGTTGCTTTGATGAGCAGGCATTCTTCTCCACAAATGAAAGAAATGTGTCATGTTATTCAAAATTTTCCAAGCTTTCATCACTCTGTTTGTCCCTCAGCGGCTGGCTTTTGTTTCACCCACTGCCTCTGATGTATCGTTTGAGGGGCAGAGGGCGTTATTGTGTCTTCTCTTGTGCTTATTCAAAGTCTAGAGTACGGCCAATGTCTCCCTTTCAACATGACAAATCTGAGTAGATAAGATGAGCAAATTTCTTTTCCTCAAGTGAGTGGTGGAATCAAAAAGCGGCTGATGGTATGTCACAATGTGTGCCGAGAGCATTCTTTCATTATATCAACCTGTAGTGAATATGTCAAAGTGCTAAGCTGTTGCATTGACTCTTTTTACTGATATTAAACCTCTATTCTAAATCAGATTCAAGCTAAATCAACAGAGTATTTTCCACGTGAACCCTCATTTGCGGGGAAAGCTAAACACAGCATGAACATCTCTAGATGTTTCTGCCCAAGCTAGCTGACTAGTTTCTCCCTCCATCATTTAAATGCAGTTTGATTCGGATTTCTTGTCCAAGCTCTTTAACTCTCAGCTTCTCCTGCAAAGATCTTCACAAGGTCATAAGGTTTCCAAGCCTCAGTTAGAGGGACCTAACTCCATCTTACTCTATTGTTATAGCTGTCAAACTGTCTATTTTAAAAGTTATTCTTACTAGGCTAATAATGTATATGTTATCTGCTTACTGGCTACACCAGCATGTATGTGGCTGTAGCCCACTGAGCATTTTTTTTGGTCTAAAAGAGGTCTATAGACGTCTAAATGTAGTCTAGACGACTGGTCTAAAATCAGGCTACCACAGGTCTAAAAATGAAAGTTTTTTAGACGTCTAAATTTAGACCAAGTTTAGACTAAATCTAAATCTGGGCTATCATAATTATTTTGCTTAAGTACTTGGAGATCAGGTATGCAACTCACAGATGCTTTTTGATATCATAGTTATTGAATAATGGGTTAAAGTGCAACACCTAATTCTGTCTAAAAATATACAGAATCTAGACGGTTGAAATTAGGTCTAAAAAAAAACTAGAAGTCTAATAGCCGTCTGTTGCTCAGTGGGAGCATTGCTTTCCTAACTGATATCTACATGCAATTTTCAATTTATTGTTGTATTGGAGTATGGCCATTACTACAGTGACAGTCCAATTCTAACTGTCCACTTAACTTAGTGGGATACCACTAAGGGGACTGGCACACTAGTCCAACTCTTGGTCATAACACATGCTGCTGGACTCCCAGTCCATGCAGAGGAGTATGATGTGGCATCCCATGGCAACGGCCACTTTTTGATCTGAGCACTGCTGCTGCTGCAGGGGGGGAAAAGGGTGGGAGGTGAGCCTTTCGCTTTCCCAAATTGACTGAATTTTGAAGTGTTTCTAGTCTTTCACTTCGCTTTCGCTTTTTTTTTCTCTGTATTGAGCTGAGGTCCAGATTGTAAAAATACCATGTCTGTGTCTAGGTTTTATTTCAATGTAAATATGTGGATTCAAAATAACCCACTCTTCATTGTAGTACAACCAAACCAGCATTTTAACACTTATGCCAGATCTACCAGTAGAAACTTTAACCATTTTGGAGATAACTAGATACATTGAATGTGCAATATGACATCTGGTATACAGTATAAAAGTCATTCACCTCTCTCATACGAGGAACATGAGAGGTGTCTGTCTCTACGCATGTGTTTAAGACTGCCGATCTGCAGTGCATCTGCCTCACATGAATTATTTGTGTATGCCAAACTATACGTGTCCACAAGCACACCTTTGTCTGTACGTGTGTAATCCCCCGTCACGCAACCATCTGTCCGGAGTCTGAAACACTTGGGTATCACACCGTCAGCCTTGCCAGGTATCAGGGTGTCTGCACACACAGGCAGTGGAAGTGTTTCACGAAGACTTTTGCCTGTTTGTCATCAGACATAATACACAGAGGAATATTTCACAGATGACGTTGGAGCCTTCACTCTCGTATTTTTTGCCATTTTGCATAAGAAAAGTCATTCGTATTTCATTTTGTACTATATTTCAATCCACACATGAAGTGATTCCAACACCTACCCCATTTTAACGGTTTCACACATTGAAATATCCAATGTATAAATCTTCAATCTTGTTGCTGATGGTTTTGTTAGCTTTTGGATATCATGAAAAGGCATAGATGTGAATTCTAGTCTATTTCATTAAAATGAAACTTTCAAAACAGGAGCTTTAAAGTTTAAAATTCTTCATTAAATATGAAACGTTAGTGATTTTTCTCTGCAAAGATGTTGAAAGAAAATAACCTCAACGTGTCAGTTTTTTATCTCAGAGTTAAATGATAAACACCAGTCTTTGATATGTTTTCTGTAATTTTACATGAACAGAGAAATATGTTTTGTTTTCCTCTGTCTCTCTTTAAAAAGGGAACAAGCATTACCCTTTCCTTTTTTTGTCTTCCTCCAAATCTGTTAGATACCGTCTATAAAGCAAAAACTCTATAGAACCCAACATGGAATTGGTTTAGTCTGCACTAAAGTCTGCTGAAGTGTTTATTCATATTTACACTAAGTGATTTCTTGGGTTATTATTTACTTTGTAAGATCGTTTTGGCTGCATTTCATTTTATTACCAGAGACGGCTGAGGAGAAATCTGTTCACATGAAAGGACTGACTTGGAAAGCTTTCAAAACTGCTTATATACCCGAGCTAAGATCAACACAACATATGGCCTGGATCATAAGGGTATCCACATTCATCTTTAGTTTTATGGCTGCTGCCAAAATCTGTGCTAGACTTGATGAATTATCTGTGGTAGAGAAAAAAAAAGTGTAGAGCTTACTTTTGTCTGGGAACATTTATTTCCTGAAAGTTTACAAGCCGAAGGGTCAAACTCACTTTTATGAAGAAAACAATCTGCTGTTCACAGATAGTAAGTTTAACAGACTAACAGCTGAATGGTAAGTGTAGCAAACAGCACAAAGAAGGATATATTTCACAGTTAGTGTCAGGGTTTCTGGAGTATTGTGATAAAAGCATGAATACATAATAATGACACACTGTTCATCAAAGAACTGTAAGTAAGATAAACACGTATAATAATGCGACTTGTAAGGGGTCTCTTCTTCTCTCTCAGGTGGATAACTGTGGTGAAAAGCACAAACACAGGAGACCTAAAGAGCTCTGTAAATAGACTCTCAATCAGTGGTTGCAATCTTGGTTTAATGAGCTCAAAGGTAATCCATGATGGGGAAAAAAATCTCCTCACTTATGCCTTAATTTCCACATGTGATGGGATTTCCATTTAACCAGCATAGCAAGTGATTTGATAGGGTCATTAACCAATATCTTTAATTCGAGTGATTTCAACCACAATGAAGATGTATTGTCTAAGTAGATGTTTCTTTCTGTTCTTATCAGCTTTCTTGGGGTTATTTTACTTTAAGGGATATTTTAGTATTTTTTAAACAAGGTTGTATAAGTGAATTAACCATAATGGATGCTGGATAAAAATCACAATGGAGTGCATCTGTAACAGTGCTAAAGCCCTGACCGTGTTGTAGTATGTGGTCGCTTTGTGTCTGTTTTCTTCAATTTGGTTGATGTCCCTTTCTCTTTCTTATTGTATTTAAAGGGATATTTAAGTATTTTTAAGTAAGGTTGTAAAAGTGTATTAGCCATAATGGGTGCTGGGAAAAACATCCAAATAGGGTGCCCCTGTGACAGGGCTAAAGCCTGGACTAGTTGCAGTTTGTGGTTGCTTTGTGTCTGTTTTCTTCTATTTGGTTGATGTCCCTTTCACTCATTTTTTCTCTACTGTTAGCACAAATCTTAAATTTCACTCTCTATAAACCCCATTGATAGCAGGAATTTAGATGTTATCTATGATGTGTAAAAATGCTGACAAAAAGTCGCATTTATGATGTGTGTTCTGGTTGTCTAGCTCTAAGATCTGACAAAGGAGTCGGCTGCAAGTCCCTAAAGTCAAACCCAAAATGGTGAGGCCCCTTTTACTGTACCTATAACTCTGAATTCAAAAAGAAATACTGGGGAAAAAAAGTGTATTTGTGCATAAATGTTTAATCGGGTCACATTTTCATTCCGTTTTTAATGCCAATTTCATTCACATTTACTCTATTTTCTATTTCCCATTGCTCTTAGATTCTCA